TGGGCGGGAGGGTGGGGGAGGTTGTACGAGAGGTACAGTGTGAGTGCATGAGGGTGCAAGGAGTTGCATGAGAGGCACCACGTGGGTCGGGGTTGGTGCGCAAGGGTGTGATGGGGTGTGAGAGGTGCCACACAGGTCGGGGAGGGTGCAAGGGGGTGCACAAGAGGTGCTACGCAGGTTGGGGAGGATGCGCAGGGGTGTGCAAGAGGTGTTACACAGGTCGGGGAGGATCCAAGGGGGTGCACGGTGCAGCTCAGGGATAGTGTGCAGAGGTGTGTGTGTGGCCGTGCAGTGCAAGCGCAGAGGGGTTGGGGGAGGGTGTGCGGGTGGGGAAGATTTACTCCAGCAACTTGCAATCCTCCCTGCTGGCTTCTCCTTTGACTTTTTGAGAAACTGGCATGGAAGGTTACAAATGGCAATCGTGATCACGGGGTGCTTGGCAACTGGTTGTAATTGTGAACAGGTTGCCAAGAACCTGGATGGCGATCATGTGACCGTGGGTGCTGGGACAGCTGGAACTCCAAAGACCGGTCGTAACCATTCAGTGTCGTCATAACTTTGAACAGTCACTAAACAAATGGTCCTAAGTCAAGGACTACCTGTATAACAATATAAGACATCAATTAGAAAGTTGGGGATGGGTAGGGAGGAAAGCAAAACCAGAGAAGAAATATTGACGCAACATACAGGAAAGGAAGGACAGGATAAAGAAGTTCAGCAAGTTACATAAGAAGTTATAGTAGGAAGCTCTCAACTTTCAAGGAAGAAGAGTATTTCGAAGTGTAGTTTGTAAGCAATAATAAAATGGCATCTGCTATTATCTCAGAGAAATGCTTACCTATGAATAACTGCAGTAGGGCATACTACCAATCTTGGCATACACAGCAGGATCTCACAATTTTTGTGATTGATTCAGGTCTCTAATAGTGAAAGCAGACAATCAGGTTTTGTACTGTTTAGGGCATTAATACATTGAAAGCAAAACCTTGAACCTGACTTGGTGGCTAACTGATAGCCAGTGCAGTTGCTCCAGTAGATATAAAGTATGCATAGCCAGGTACCCTCTCAGCCATATAAACACTACATTTGCAGCTTCCAGGCAAAAAAAGGTTATTACATAAATCTCATTATCATAATCTAAACATAAGACTACTAGTGTTTGAATCATGGTAACTGGCCTATCTGTCTCCAGCAAATGACAGAGTTGTTATACCAATCAAGGATGGTAATAGGCTCTTCTGACCACAAAGGTCATTCTAAGGACAGTAATGACTTTAAGAGCATCCCTAACTACAGTGTATATACCTCTTATTTCTGTGGCTGGGCAAACTCCATTCAGAGTGGGCATCATTCAACCAAAAGGCTTTCATCTTGTCAGGATTAAGTCTCAAGTTTCAGACTGCCTCTCCTCTGTTCACTAATGTTAGTTCAGAAAATGCACAGGCTATACCAATTCAGATATTATAAAGAAGTAGACCTGAGTGTCACCAGAATTTTGATAACCTTTATTTGCAAAACTCCTTACATTTGTGCCCTGATAGCTTCACATAAATATTAAAAACCATCAGAAACTAAGTAGTGTCCTCTGGCAACCCACAGTATAGCTGCAAAGATGCAGAGTTACAATTATCCAATGCTACTTTCTGAGGCTATCCTGGAAGTAGGAATTGGACCACTGTAGCATAATAGCCCCAACCTTTGACACATAGATATGGTCCAGGAGAATATAATGGCTAACTGTATCAGAAGCTGCTGAGAGATTAATAAGATCAACAGAGTGCACTTCCTCTGTGTCTTTCCTGTAGGAGGTCATTTATTATGTCAACCAAAGCTGATTCTGAACTGAGACTGAAGAGGGTTGAAATAATCTGTATCTTCCAAGAACATTTGCCAATGTATAAGACACTACTCTTAAGAACATTGTCTTTAAAAACTGCTGATATGTGACTGAGTGATAATTGGAATAATCCACTGATTACAGAGAGGGTATCTTCAGGATTGTGCAGGTCTTTACCTCCCTTATGGCTGGCAGCACTGCTGTATCACACAAAATGTGTTCAGCCTTCTCCAATTCCACTTAATACAGATAGTGCTTATTTAGCAACTGCCTTGTTTAGTTACTGTTTGCAGTTACAACAGTGATGAAAAAGTAACTTTGTGACCAATTCTCTCATTTATGATCTTCATGGGTCCATAAAGCAAAGGAAAAAGGAAAAGAGTCACTTTATATGAGATGGGTGGCTATATAAATACGATAAATAAATAAATAAATAAAAATTAAAAAACTGAAGATCATAAGCATAAGTTGTGATTTGATCAGTGATGCTCTCAAGATGAGTTAAAAGAGCATGTGGTAGGCTACATCACTAGTCAACCAAAGTTATCTTGTCTACATATTCAGGCATCCAAAAATGAAAGGAATTACTTCAAATTAGATTAATTGCATTTGGCACTTAAGTATGTACTATTCAGAAACACTATTTATGTTGACGGGAAAAGTGATTATATCCTTGAAGTGTCTCACAAATTTGTCACAACAAATTATTAAGCTTCTGAAGTCTCAATTAATTATGATTATGCTTCCCCCTTCCCTTTACAGAACTGCTTCTCAAGTTCATCTGATGATGTTTTCACCAGATGGAGAATTTTTTGCTACTGCAGGGAAGGTATGATACATCTTTATTTTTCATTTCAATTTATATCAATTTCTGCATAGAACATCAATATGTTTAATAATAGCAGTAATAATAATGGTATAATGCATTTTAGTATTAGTATGTTTAAAACTGTAGTTAGTAATAAATAACAGAACAAATAAATCAATTGAAGACCACAACAAATAATATATCTATAGTTGGAGGAGTATTGGATTTTAAACTTATTTAATAAACAGAAAAAAATTATACATACATAGAATAGTATTAAATTTATGATGTAACCTCAAAATTAATAATCATCATAATAATTAAAGAAACTACAGAAAGACTAGAAAAATATATGCTATAAACTGAACAATACTAGTAAATTTTACTATAGTGATTGAAAGTGTTCTTCCTTGTCCCTTTGTTAAAAATTTTAAAAAACTGAAACATTAACAGACAATACATGCATTTATATTGCAGATGTTTTACTTTATAATACAATAAAATATAAAAAATACACTGTATTAAAATAGAATCCATTCTCTTCAATGAACTAAACCTTAGTTACAAGTGCATATGAGAGTGTGATCAGTTACTGAAACTCTTTAAAATCTTTAAATACAATAGGAGCCTGAATCTTTTCCTTTTACAAGTTTGATCAACAATCTCAAGAATTATACAATTCATTTATTTATAAAGCTCAGTGATGTTTACAGGTAGTGCTCAGTTTATGACCACTCAGTTAGCAACCATTCGAAGTGGCGACATTGCTGAGCGAGTGGTACTTATGGCCGGTCTTTGAAATTCTGGCTGACCCAGCAGCACCATAGTCACATGATTGTGATCCAGGCACTCGACAACCAGCTTGCACTTATGACAGTTGCAGCATCCTGTGGTGATGTGATTGACATTTGTGACCTTCCCTGCTAGCTTCCCACAGGCAAAGTCAATGGGAAAGCTGACAAGGAAGGTCACAAGTTGCTGTAGTAAGTCACTCCCACTCCCACTGCTTTTTCTCCCGAGGAGACTGGCTATGGAGAACAAAATCCTGTGGATCTCATACTCTGTAGTGTGTGCACACCCACAGCACCACCCACCCGTACTGCATAGCACACACCAGTCCATGGTTGCGTGCTGTGGGAGCCACCTGCACACCTTCCTGCATCCTGCAGCAGTGAAGCCTGGCCCGGTCACGCTTGCATGGCGCCACAGCAGCCACCTGCGCACCCTCACACACCCTGCAGCAGCTAGCCCTGGCCTGGCCACGCACGGCACCGCAGCAGCCATTTACCCACCAGCCTGCTTATGAGCCACCCAGGACTTGCAGCTTCCTGCCAGCTTCCCCATCATTTTGCTTATTGGAAGCCGGCAGGATGTCACAGGAAGTCCTCGCTTAACAACCCATGATCCTCGCTTAATGACAGCAAGGGGGACTGGATGGAGACTGCAACCGCATTGCTTAGCAATGGAAATTCTGGTCCCAGTTACCGTCCTTAAGTGAAGACTACTTGTATAATAATTCCTTGTCGTTTTCCTTTAGAAAATAGGAATTTTGCTGAATCAGACTACAGGCTCTCTAAACTAGCATTCTGTTTTCACGTTGGCCAGGAAGATTATAATGGGAATCCCTCAAATAGAATACGAGCACAATAGATCCTTCATGTCTTCTTAGCAATCAGTATGAAAATACATATTATCTTTATTAGAAATAGTACATGTTGGCTTGCTTCCAGTTTGTGGCCTGTGTCAGACTCCTTCAAGCTTTGAACGAGGCATTTGATCTCAGATAACAAAATCCAGCATTAGAATTCCCTTCTCCTTCCTTCTCAGTCACTAAGAATGGTTGTTTTTAAGGTGCAAGGGAATAGGCAAGATGGAATTGAGGATCTTTGTAGTTTCCCATATATCTCTATGTCTGATAAAACTATCTGGAAACCTCTGAAACTATCTGAAGATCTCTAAATTTATTCCCTTCCCTTGTACATAATATAAATATCTCCCTCCCAACCCCAAAGCAAACTAGAAAGAGGGTCTTCCTGGTCCTGTCTCCTTTTGTCATTGGCAACATATTCAAAATTATTGGAGCGCTATAAGCAGAGTGTAGACTTTCTCTCCCAATGGCTAAAAGTTTCTTACATGTGATGGAAAAAGCACATTTATATGACTACTTAGTAGTCATATAAAAGCCTGTAATTATATGGAAACTGACATGTCCCAACCTCAAAACTGTTTTGATGTTACAGTATTATCTTAGATCTTGGAAAAAAGTAAGTTTTATATTCAACAAATAGCAAAATTAACTTGTTAAAATTATGTTATATAATCTCCCACTGCTCACCAAAATATATGATTTTAAGAAAAATCCATATTTGTTAATAGGTCAACTATTTAATACATTTTTTTCCAAGTTTGCTTGGATTCAGGGTTATATTCTTGAAATAAATGTTTTCCATACAGAAGTCTAATAAACAGGTAGTCCTCGTTTAGCAACCACTTTTGGGATGGCAACTTCATTGCTAAGCAACACAGTTGCTAGCGAACATCACTAAGCAACAGACTTATGACATCACTTCCCATTTGGTTTTTAAGCAAATCACCGCAGGTAGTTAAGCAAGATATCACGTAACCGCAATTTGCAATTTTACTGCCGGGTTCTCCATTGACTCTGCTTGTCAGAAGCTGGCTTTGAAGCACGCAAATGGTGACCACATGACACTACGATGGTCGTAAATACCCACCAGTTGTGAAGCACCCAGTTGTCAATCATGTGACCATAGGGACACTGTGATGGTCATAAATGGATGCAAAGTTACTTTTTCAATGCTATCATAATTTCTAACGGTTGCTAAACAGGGCAGTCATTCAGTGAGATCTACCTGTACTCTATATATTAGTGTAGGCTGTATGGCTGGCATCAATGGAGCAGTGATGAGCTTTCAGGCTGAATTGCCATGGTCTAGTTTTCTTTTGTTCTGATGTTTCGCCTGCAGCTGTGGCTGGCATCTTTGGTAGCAGAGTGAGCTGCTTTGTAGTGTACCTCTTATTTCAGTTGCCTGTGAGCTGCCAAGAGGTATACCACAAAGCAGTTTCATTGTGCCTCTGAAGATGCCAGCTACAGCTGCTGTCAAAACGTCAGAACAAACAAAAATAGACCATGGCCATTCAGCCCGAAAGCTCTTCAACATAATACTCTGTTAATTGCAATTAATATTAAGGCACATTTATGTGATAATCATCAGTTTTTAGAGAAAATTATTTTCTATCAAATTGTCCTTGTCACAGGTTTAATTTAAGATAAAAGGCAGCTGCTATTTTTGGAGTGCTATTTAAAGAAGCACTTTTAACACTGAAGTGCTTAATCTAGTAAACATATTATCCTAACTATTTTATCTTCAAGCTTGGAGGTAGAGGTGAAATAAATCAAGTTTTGCTGTGCAATTTGAAGTGAGGACTTATATAAAATAGATGCATAAGATCGAAATACAGAGTAACAAAAATGGGACATTAAATTTGACCCAAGTGACTTCTGTCTGTTCATATTCCAGATACAAACATGAAGTGAGGTAGTTGGTCTCTTTCTCTCTGCTATGTGGGCATTACAGAGAGCTTAAGAAGGAAATGGTGATAGAAGAAGAGCCATCAGAGGTTCTTCTGAATGCTCATGGACAGAGAGCTCAGGAAAAGAACTGTACTTCCTCTCTTTCAAATAAATGCTTGCTGTCTTTGGAAAAAGGCAAAAGCAGTATGAGCCTTTTGCTGTGGGTGACCTTCCTCAAGGGTAATCAAAATGTGCAACCACTTCCGTCATCAAATCTTTCCTTCAATCATAGGTTTGAATTACAAGGTTCAAGGTTCATTTTTCCTTTATTCTTAGCCTGAGAGTTATTATTTCATTCTGCTGAAGTCATGGTAGCTATTAGGTGTCTTGTTTATTCAGGGTACTATGCTTGATACTTCAAGATATTTATTTGGCAAGTCTTTGATCATAGATATTAGTTTGTTCCATTTGTTCATTAAAATCTTTGTTCTTGTATTGTTCCTATGGGATAAGTCTTTGTCTGAGGAGGACAAGGAACTTCAAGAACTGAGTCTGACCAATTTCAAAATACTTGGTAGTAATATGCATGCTATCTTAGTTTTTTGGTGCTGTCACATGCCAAGGTACTGGTCTCAACCATTATTACAAGATTTGATTTTTCAACCGGTTATAACTAAATCTGTAACTTGAGTTTATGGATTTGAAATTTTTTTTAAAAGTGTTTTACTTTTGTAAATTTTAGAATAACTACAAAATCAATGTCTTTTTATTGAGAGTGGCAAATTCTCTGGCCAGAAGTGATCTTTTAGTACCTGAGACTATACCACCAAATTTCAGGGGCAATTCACAAAATCCTGCTGATGCATTTTCTCCAAATTTCTGACAGGAAACCAAAGAAATAAGGTATTTAAAATTTTTGCAAAGGCTAGAGTTTAGCACCAGAAATTTTTTAAAAAAAGAAAAAGATATCCTCAAAATTAATTTCAAAAATGGAGAAAAATGAGCCTTATGTATTTTGCTGATGTTTTATGTAAGTTGACCACTGAAAAGAATGGGGAAAACATATGATTCCTGAATTCAAAAGTCTGCATGCCTGTGTTTTATATCAGTGCCAGACTATTCTGAAAATAGTGAAAATAAAATCTTTTTTAAAAACGTTAAAATGTGTTTAATATAAGAAACTTCTCTTTTGGATTTATACTTGATGGTGTGATCAGCTTGGAATTCACATAATTACTAATGCAATGTTAATAGAAACTTACAAAACAATTGTTAAAGTAATTTGTTCATTTAAAATTTAGCATTCTTAGCATATCGAATATTAAGTTAACAGGTGTTGGTATTTGTATTTATTTTGAATCAAAGAAAAGCAAGTAGGCTACTTTGAGGCTCTTCTTTCAGATGTGTCCCATGCTGAAATCTTTACCATGATAACTTGCAAAGAGGCTTCAAAAGGTAGATCCAGAGGGAACAAAGCAGCTTTCTGAATAATTTGCCCAGGCCTAATACATGTTATAAAAATAATAGGTTGAAAAGTGATTTTATGACTATACGAAGTGGAAGAAAGATTTTTAGTAGAAACTACAGAAACTACTTATGATATATGGTATTTATTTGTTTGTTTGTTTATTTATTTTTATGCAGGATGATTGTCTTGTAAAGGTGTGGTATAACACTGATAGCTGGAAATCAGCAGTTGCATCACAAAGTACAACACCAGAAACCACCATGCAAGAACTGGGTTTCTCATTTATTTATCTGGTTCATCCTCGGTCGGTTGATGGTTTTTCATGGCGAAAGACAAGCAACTACATGCCACGGTGAGAATAGCTGCAAAGTAAATCACATTCAATCATTAAAAGTTGTGATTTCTTTATATCTTTATGCATATAGTTTATACATCATAACCTATGTTTCCTCTAAGATGTGAACATGTGCATGTGTACATTACTTATCAAACATGTGCACACAGGTGCACAGAATATTAAGTTATCCCAAAATAATAATAAATTTAAGCACCCTAAAACTCTGGGCTTGTGAAGAGGCCTGATCAGACCAGCTAGAGACATGTCAGGCACAACCCCAGAGCTTTCTGCACATGAAGAAGCGCCTTCCTCTAAAAAAAGTTTAATTAATTTCCTTTTTCCCTCCAAGAAAGGTTTAATCAAATCTGTTGAGTTTCAGGCCACACAAGATCCATGATCGTTGTTACCTTTATAAAAAAATTTTCCACACACTGCATGTCAGAAATTAGATGGAACATTGTAACCAATGTGATTTAATTAGACATATGTGATCAATTAATATTAAACTTATTTTTAATGCCATTATACTTTTCTTAGAGTTACCATACATAATTCTAATAGGCAGGCCTATTGATAATATTTGGAATTCGTGTCTTCGTTAGTATTGGAAATATAAGTTATCTTCAAATATAGAAGATAATCTTGGCTATAGTAAAAACAACATAAACTCACCATGTGTTCTCTTACAATGAAGGATTATTGTTTCAGTTATCTAAAATGTTCCGCCCTCTCAAAAGATACTTAGTAAGAAATAGTAGGTTGTTCATAATAAAAACAACAATCCCTCTTTCTGGCTCCTAGTTCTCAGCTCAGGAATCAGGTTTCCAGATTGTAGGAGACCTTAGGCTGATGCTTTTAAATGTTAGATCTTTCTGTAATAAGGGTGGTTTGATCCATGATTTGAACATGAATGAAAAGATAGACCTGGCATGTATTACCAAAACCTGGGTGATCAAGGAAGAGGGAGTGCCCCTGACTGAACTATGCCCATCTAGGTTGTAGAATATATCAGCTTTGATTTCAAGGTATATCAGGCAGAGGGGCAATCAGAAAACTTTGATGGTCACCAGAACTTCTGTTCTTAAGTGACCAGTTGTGAAATCTTATGTGTATGTCTGGACTGGAGGGACAAGTTGGGAATCATTGTACCAATCTGCCAACTCCACAGCAGTATCCCTACTTGAGCTGCTATAAAGATTTGGATGAGGAAGAACAGGTTGAAGCTCAATCCAAAGAAGACTCACTGTTCTGAAGCCAACTGATTCTAGGACTATTACAACTTTAGCTGTGTATGAGACTTTGCTCATCTCAAGGGAGCTAGCTCATAATTGGCGGGGCGGGAGGGAGAGGGGAGGCAATAATACTCTCAGCTCCTGCTAGACCAACAAGTGGAGACTTTGCCAGAAAGGGCCTTTGTCCAGCTTTGGCTGGTACAGTAGTTATGATCATTTCCACAGCAGAAAGTGCTGGTGGCAATTACGCCCTTTTTTTTCTTGTAATTGAACTGCAGTTTGCTCTGCATGGGACTTGCTCTGAAGATATCTTGAAGCCTCAGGTGGTATACAATGTGGCAGCATTTGTACTGCCAGGAGTGTCTGAGTACTCTGACTTAACATCTGTACTATGGGAGCTGCACTGGTATCAGTTCATTTCTGGGTTTAGTTTAAATTTCTGGTAATACATGCCTTAGGACCTGTAAATCTGCAAAAACACTTGCTTTGAGTAGAATCTATCCACCCAAAGCATGTTAGTAGAAAGAATTAAAAGTCACCACCCTATAAAGCGATGTGGGTGGGAACCTGGAGACAACCTATTCCCTGCCAAAGCTCCTCTTCTGTGAAACCAGCTGCTATTAGTAGTGAGAACTGCATCCACAATATGAACCTTTAGAAACTGTTAAAAACCTGGTTATTCACACATGCATTGGAAACTAGTAAAGTATACATTAGATATCTAGAAGGTGTATGCACTATTATCTTTTTATGAATTCATTAAAATGCATGTTACTTTTTATAGATTGGGTTTTTTTTATTATTATTATTATTATACTTGAAGCTGCTTAGATTCTCCTGATTGAAATAGCATAAAAGTATCTGTAATAAGTAATAAAATAATAATAAAACCCTGCAATCCTGCATTACAAATCAATAGTGTTTCCAAGAATTCTTCAAGCATCTGTTGTCTAAAACAATTTGAAAATAAAGTATGTGATAGTGTAATAACACTGAATAGGATTCAAAAATCCTCTTTCTGAAGTTTATAATTTCTTTTTGCTTAACTTGGCTTTTTTTCCTAGTGGTGCTGTGTGTAATGTACTGCTGACATGCTGCAAAGATAATATATGCCGTCTCTGGGCAGAGACTCTGTTGCCTAATGATAGCCTCTTGTATGAAGGTGGATACAACCATTGGCCTGACCCAGTGAAATTAAATAATAACTTTAAGAGGAATGCTTCTAGCAAAGAAAGCATGAAAAATGCTTTAGAGGTAAGAAGTGAAGTCTACTAGATACTAGTAGTCGATACCTAGACTGACTGACTTGAATATTTACTTTGTAAATGAATATTTTTATTACGAAGTATATAATCTGTATTCTCTGGTTTTATAAAATAGCTGTCCAACCTATTTAAATGTAGTCAGAAAGTTCTGTTCAGAATTATACAGATTTGTAGAAAATAGTTTTCTGCATTTCATTATATCATATGAACAATATATTCCTGATCTCAACAGTTAAATTTAAGACCTTTTCGACGAGGAAGAAGAAGATCAATAGCACTTGCGCATACTGGATACTTGCCCCATCAGCAAGACCCTCATGTAGTTCATCGAAACACACCGTTGCAGTCAAATGCACTTTGCCACTTCCATATTGCTGCCAGCATCAATCCAGCCACAGGTGATAAAAAATAAGCAGACTTGTAGGATAAATGGGTGCAATTTAGATTTATCTCTTAAAGCACACTATACTATAATGTTTACAAATACTAAAACTGTGCTGAAAAGGGAATATAATTTTAGAGTTGTCAAACCATTCAAAATGTTGCTTTTAAAAGTCTCCCTCCAACTATACCAGTAGCTATTAATAGTATTTATGGTTGTATTTATTGTGAATTGTTTTTATGGTGATTTTATGAATGCTTTTAGTTTCATATATTTCAAGCTGCTTGAAGAGGAATAAATAAATATATATGTGGTTGTGGAGTCTTTGGGGTTCTCTGAGCTTGGTTCTTTTCTTGCAAACATTTCATTACCCGGCTAGGTAACATCTTCAGTGCTAAAATGGGCTGGGGTTTGCTCTCTATTTATGTGCGGTGGCCTGCCTTGCCAGTGCTGGTGGGGGTGGGGGGGCTTGTTTTGCTCCTCTGGTAGTTCTTTGATTAGCATATGTTTCCTGCTTAGTTGTGTGCCTGGTGGTAACCTTTCCTGATGATTGCTGGTGATTGATTACTGGTGAGGCGATCTTCTGCTGTGGCCTGCCTTGCCAGTGCTGGTGGGGGTGGGGGGGTTTGTTTTGCTCCTCTGGTAGTTCTTTGATTAGCATATGTTTCCTGCTTAGTTGTGTGCCTGGTGGTAACCTTTCCTGATGATTGCTGGTGATTGATTACTGGTGAGGCGATCTTCTGGTCTTTTGTCTCTTTTGAATAGTATG